TTCATTGTTTAGACTTGAAAAGAAACAATGGCCTTAAAAGACAAGGTTCAAAGTATCAATGCGTGGGGGCTTCCCGATACGCCCTTACAGGAGGTGTTTCGTGGTCTCAACTCTCGACCCATTCAAAGAGTGAACGGACTTTAAATCAACCCTTCTAAAACAGATTAAAAAAAATGAAAAAAAAAAAAAAACTGTCAACAATGCCCGGTTGTATCGATAATTTTAACCTTGCCTAAAGAGAGAAAATTTTTTTGACATGTTTAATTGCTGGATATGGTAAATTGGTAACCTCCGGAGTATGAGACTATCTTTCTCGTTGTTCCGACTTCAAAACAAGAAATGGCCCTAAAGAGTAAAAGAGACAAGATCGCTCCTCCGGACATGGTAATGATGCAATGCTTATACAATTCTGCCTGGTTATGACGTCTTAATTTTGGATTCTGCTACCTTTTTAATGTTAGTTTGATATGCTAAAAGTGAAACATAGGTGTTGTTAGATGCACTTCTCTTTCCAAATGTCAAAGAAGTCGATTGTATGTAATCTTGTCTATTCAACTTTTGAATGATCAAACTGTTACTATGTGTTTGGTTTGATTGAAAGTACGAGGAAAATTCGTTGAGAAAGTAAACTTTCTCTCAACTCAACTCTGTTTCTTATTTTCTATCAAACCAAACAAAGCCTTGGTTTGAGATGCTTCCAGGTGTACTGGCAATTTTAGATTGCAGTTTTACATTTTATAGACAGACTAGTGGGGACCTGTGTGATGCTTGGGATTTTTTAAGCGAAAGCTAAATAATAGAAAGGGTCATTTACTAAAACACTCTCTATTGTTTCATGGATTTACTAAAATCTACCMTATAGTATGTATTTTATTAAAATACCACTTATAATAATGGATTTAATCAATTTTCCATCAGTTGATAGTGGAAAATGAAAGTGTCAACCCTAATGTTCATTTAAATAAATTTAATCAAAAGAAATGGGCAACCAATCTATTGGCTATATTTGGTCAATTCTCTTTTCTGTACAAAAAGTGTTAAGGGTATTTTTGGAATAAAAAATCATGGGCCCAATGAAAAAACAAACACTCCTTAATAATTATTCATAAGAGTAAATTATTCATAGTCAATTTTCATGACCCTAATAGAAACACATAAGAGTATACAATTGTTTTATATTTTCAACTTTTTAAATAATTAATGATTATTCATACTTTATATACAACTTTTAATAAATTTTTTATAATACAAAAATAACAATAATTAATTTCAGTTAGGTTTATTCATCAAACTGATGAAACTGACCTACCTGATCAACTCGACCTGAGTTGGTCGGTTTTTTAATATTTTAGGTTAGTTTTGGTTCAAAAATTTCTCAACTCGACCAAGTTGGATCAGTTTCGCTTTGGTCATTTGTAAACCAACAAAAATCGGATGACTTGACCATTGATATGTGTTAATATTTTATATTTTAAATATAATTTTTAATATAGAAAAATGGAAAAATTTCTATGTCTAAAAAGTTTTATATCATAAATTTATTTTTTAACAATTGCACTATAGTTTTTAAAATTTAAATTTAATTTTTAAGTTTAAATCTTTTGAACAGACTGACCAAACCAAAAAGCTGACTGAAACCAATACAACCTGAGTGGGTCGGTTTTCACAAATGGTCAGTCGGCTTCAGTTGACCAACTCCCCAACTTGACCAGGTCAAWTTGGTTGACCAAACAACCTACAACCGAATCAAACCAACTCATGAACACTCATAATTTCAGCTAAATCAATAGTCTCATGTTTGATAAATAACAATAATTTAATCTCCAACAATTATTGAAAATTTATAGTAAAAATACACAATTATTGAAAATAATTGACAATAAAAAATACAATAATTACTAAAAATATATTAAATTAGTCAATAAATAATATAATCTCTAATAAATATTAATCAATAAGTTATAAYAAAAATACAATAAGTACAATAAACAAAATTTAAAAATTTCTATAATATTAGTTTAAACCCAACAATTAGTGAAAGTTTTCTGTTAAATAACAAAACAAAAATAAATTTATACATAATTATTGAAAATACATTTATCACAAAAATATTAAATAATTACTAAAATGCAATAAATATTAATATTAGTATATATAATTATATAATAAATATATATTAAGAATTTAAAATTATTATTAATAAATATTATTTTTTATGAAAGTTATTTTCTCGAATTATCAATTGATTTAAGTGAAATTATTTATTTACAATATTATGTAAAAATATTAAATTATTATTAATTTCAATATTATGTTATATTTATTTTTCGACCTTTTTTTTTAAATTTATTACATAACTTCTATATATTAACTAATTTAAAATATAGTTATGTCAAATATTTTGTTATTTAAATTATTTAGTTATTTAAATACTTAAATAATATGTAAAAGATATAATTTTTGAAATTTTAATTATTTATTGAATTTAATAATCCATAAAATTTTAATTTATATTATTATTACATAATTTGATTATTACTTTTGTAAGATATTAAATTATTATTAATTTCAATATCATGTTATAACTATTTTTCTACTTTTAAGATTTTTTTCATTTATTACATAATTTCATTATAATTATTTTTTTCATTTATTACATAATTTCATTATAATTATTTTTTTCACTTATTACATAAAATTTTCTACTTTTAAGAATTTTTTTCGTTTAATTTAATTTATTACATAATTTCATTATTTTTCTACTTTTAAGTAATATGTAAAATATTTAATTTTTTTTTGCCATTTATTGAATTCAATAATCCATAAAATTATAATTTATACTATTAATACACAATTTCTTTAATAATTTTGTAAGATATTAAATTATTATTAATTTCAACATTATGCTATAATTATTTTTCTACTTTTAATAATTTTCTTTAAATTATTACATATTTTTGTTATTTTAACTATTTAAATGTAGTTATGTTAAATATTTAAGTAATATGTAAAATACTTAAATTTTTATTTGAATTTTATTTATTTAAAGCTATTACATATTAGTAAATATTTTGTTATGTAATTATTTATATATTTATATTGTTTTGTTATTTAAGATATTTATTTATTGAAATATTTAAATAATATTTTATTTTTAGTGTTAATTTTTTATTATTTGAATAAAATTTAAATTGATAATCTAGAAAACAGATACATAATTTCGTGATATATTTTATAAAAATATAAAATTATTTTTGTGTTTTTAGTAAATATTTTAAAGTTATTATATAGTTTTCTTAGAATATTTAAATAATTATTAATTTTTTAATCCAAACTTTCTTTAGAAAGATATAGATAAAAGTCGGGGAGAGGATAAATAGGAATTAGAGATAATTTAGGAGAGAAACTCTCGAATAAATTAGAAATAATTTTGGAGATAAATAAGAATTAGAGATAATTTAGAAGAAAAATAGAAATTAGAAATAATTTAGGAGAAAGTGGAGGAGGTAGTTTAGGAGATGAGATTATCTAGGTTATTGGGAAAGTTCATCTCATTGGTTGTTTAAAAAATGACATGGAATAAAAAAATAAAAAAATTCAAAAAAAGGAAAAAATTTCTTGACCGCTTGGTTTATATATAGATAGATAGATAGATGGAATGCTTGTTCTTTGATCAATGAAATATTTCCGACTCTCCGGATAATCTAGGACTCAATGGATTTTGTCGATCCAACAGAACCAAATCAAAATTTGAGTCTGCATTGTCCTAATTGTAATATAGCCTAGTGAGTCTTAGCATGCTTATGTGTGTATATAAGTTTTAGCCGTGTCAATTAATGGGATTTTTTTGGTACCAGCGGATAATTTGAATTTGAAATAGGTGGTTATATATCAGTTTGTAACAGTTGATATCGATTTGTAATGGTTTTACTATGGGTTTGTAATATTTGTTTATGAGTTTGTAATGGTTGAGTATAACTTTGTAACAGTATTTTTGTAGTGGCTAGGGGGGGTGCTCACAGTTGGGGCTTTTTCTTGGACCGAACCAGTACTATCAGTTTTTTGAAAACTGATAACCAAAACCGAATCGAAATCAGTYGATTAACCGGTTGACCGGTTTGGTTAATTGCCAGTTCGGTTTATCAGTTGTTTAAATTTATAATATATATTATAAATATATAATAAAAAATTATATATAATGTATATTTATTAATTTATAATATATATATATATATAATATACATAAATATATATAAAATATATAGAAATATATGTATATTGGCCGGTTCAGTTAATCACCGGGTTTCTATATTGATTAACCGAAACCGAACCGATACCTTCAGTTTTTTAAAAACACTGAAACTGAACCGATTAATTCGATTAACCAATTTTTCGATTCAGCTTCCGTCAGTTTTTGGGTTTTTTTTGCTCACCCCTAGTAGTGATTGAGTATGAATTTGTAACAATTTATACCAGTCACGTATSGATCAGTAATGGTTGAATATATATGCATTTGTCTTTATCGGTTGAGTGTAAGTCATGTTGGTTTCCAATGGTTGAGAATGGGTTTTAAACAGCTGAGAATATAATTCATAGTTTCATACTACCCTTGTCATCAAATACTCTCTTATCTCTCTCTCTTAAAAGAGCAGCACAACTGTCTATCTGATTTATAATCTCTTCATCTAGTTACCCTTGTGGTTTCATGTATGATATGGCGCAGGGTAAACAATAATGGCTATGAATTATGATTATAAACCAGTGTATTGGCACAATGAACTTGGAGAGCTACTGCAACATCATATATTTCTTGGTATGTAAGAGGAAGACACTCAAGTGGCATGCAATTGCAAAGACCAGAGAGCCATGATGTCTCCCTTGCTTGTGTCCTTTTTTTTCCCCTTTTCAATATGAATCTGTCTGCTAGATTGATTGTCCAAATCCAAAGTAGCTAACAAGCTGATACCATGTTACCCCCACAAAGCCAAAGCAAACAAGGATAAGATATAAAAGACAAAATTCAAAAACAGAAATAACTACAAAATTCTACACTCTTCTATGACTAATTCACATTCCTCAAAACTTAATATTATACCCAACCGTTTCTAAACACTGCAGTCTGCACCACGATGGATTATCCATGGGTAGAGGTACGATTGCAGGTGACATCCCTAATCTTCCTAGTTACAGAACAGAAGCACTATGGGTACCCATCTATTCCCTGAATATAGAAACTGGCTTCTCTATTAAACATTATCTGCTCTCCAGAGTACGGAGAGACTCTCTCTCTCTCTCTCTCTCTCTCTCGATTTGTACAGCTCTGGCGTTTAACTAACATCCACTGCATCGACCATTGTCGGAATAAAATGCTCTCTCCAACAGAGGGAAGGTTTTTACTAATGCTTAAAAATGGTCACGCCGTGACTCCTGGATCGGAAGTAGGGTTAACTACTTGAACTTGTGTCTCAATTGGGGAAGGGAGAGCCAGAAGCCTTCCCCTCTGCACACGAGGCGGGAGATGTTTGGTGCTCTTTTTGGAGCTGACCGTCCAAGGCAAGAAAACACCAGTGCCACTGCCGCCCCGTGCGATCCTCCTGGGGCTCATAACCATGGGTCGCATTGGAGCTACCGTGACAAGTGGGCCCCGGACAACTCCCCATTTCGGAACCATATCCAAACCTTCAGTCGTTGTGTATGGCGGTGGCACTCCTGGTTGCCACAGAGTCATGGCTTTAGTCAGGGGAGGGATGGTTGTTGGTTGCTGCATTGGGCTGGTGGTGGTGGTGCTATCCAACCGAACCTTGAAGAATGTGATGCTAACTCTTTTATTTGAACATGGGCATATGACATGCCTTGCCATTTCCGCACTGTTCCCTCGCATGACCAACAGCGACCTGCATACATAGTGTACCAGGAATGGCGCATCATTATCTGTTTGTCAATCATGACTGCAACGTAAAACTTACAGACACAGTGAACACATTTTCCAATCACAATTGCTTTTGCTATCTTCCCTTCAAGCTTTTAGTTAGCCAGCCAACTATTTTTAATTTATAAATCAGTGAAGAAAACCACCCGGAACAGAGAAGATTCACTCGGAGAAAAGTGACTGTCTTAGATTTTCCAGTGCTTTCAATTTTGTCAAGGTGATAGCATTTGATCACTTTCAAATCAAAACCAGATACGCTATGTGATCATAGGACCATGTTGCTTGCGTAGCAATGAGAGAGCCTGTAGGCTGTAGCCCATCATAGGACCATGTTGCTTGCGTAGCAATGAGAGCCTGTAGGCTGTAGCCCATCATATGGTGCATTATGTCTCACCTCTGAATGTTGAAAATCCAAAACTCCAAGTTTGGTCAAACTTAATCAACACTATAGAAAAATACCGAAAAAAAGAAGAGAAAAGTGGTTGGAAGAGAATGTTTTAGGTATACTGAAGGACACTCTGCTCCTAAGAATGGTATCCGGGGTTAGAAGTATTGATATCAGTGGAGGGAAACTGGTCGTGCTGTAGAGGAATTTCTTTGCTGGGATGGAGACATATCACTCCACAAGAGGAGTTTTTAAAAAATATTTTTTCAAGCACACTGTAGTAAACTTCCTTTTTTCTAATAAAAATAAAACAGGGTTTTTGGGTTGACAGGATTGAAGGGAACCAACATATCAAGTTTGATGGTGGCAGGTGCCAGTCATGGCATAAGCACAAAAAAGGTAATGGTTTTGTGAATTCTTCTTTCAAATTCCCATATATTCCAATAGACTGAAGTTTACTAGCATAGTATTATGGGTTTATCTATCCAAATTCCAAATTGTTGCGTCACAAGATTCAAAAAGAAAGCAATGAGTTCAAGGAATCTCTTGTACATACCCTTCTTTAAGAGAAAGCATGAGCGAACCTTTGAAGTTCCCATTGTGATTTACAAGAACCCGGCCAAAAGCCATGGTGGATTCAGAAAGGAGAAGGGTGGAGATGGGTTGGTCCAAATGTGGTGGCTTCAGGTAAGGTTGTGAGTATTCTCCCTGCAAAAAGAATAATAATAAATTTCCTGGTTCCTTTGAAACAAAATCAAGGTGCAAAAGCAAAACAGAGGAATTATACATCCTTCCACTTCTCTCATTCAAGTGTGTTCTATGAAAAGAAATAACCAAATGTGGATACCTCGTCAAAGAAGTTAATAATGCAGCTATTGGGTTTTCTACTTTCTGGTATGAGACGCCAGTGTACCAGGTTATCAATGACTGCTTGGAGAACTGATGGAATTGGTTCGATGTCACCTGTAAACAAAGGAGCCTTATTTCTGAAACTTCCTAAAATATGTTATTGAATGAAAAATGCGGAACAGTGACTTCAATTTCTGAAGGACAGACTTGGGTTTTGTGGGAGTAAAGCCAAAACATCCGAGTTCTAAAGTTTGTCTTACACTTGTGGACTTTACTTGTTGCTTCATCTTTGATCTGTCCGAAAATTGGAACTCCTAGCTGAATTAGCTCTCTTTTGTTCCCCTTCAATTGCTTATTGAACAAGATAAATGTTTCACCTGTGTTCAATATAACATCCGGAATTTCAAAAAAGGATATTAGTCATCAACTTTTTTCTCGCCAAACAATTCGATGCAACTTATAAATGGACATGAATTCCCGAAGCAGGGAATCTGCAAATGAAACAAAGAGTGTGAACAACATGAACTGGGTTTAATCACCAAGAGAATGAGAAACCAATGATGTAATTCTTGAAAGGAACTGGAATGGGAAGATCCACCTGAGAGCTCTCCATTCCGACCAGCAGTGCGGAGCTCATTTAGGAAGTCATCGAGCTTTGAAAGTTCAGAATCGGTGAAAATGTCTTCATACAGCTTGAGACCTTTCACGACGTTGACCTGCCAGACACAATCAAGAGTTCAAGACTTGACTACAGGCATCAGGGAAGCTACAATGTTCTTCTACCTTCAAATAAAGGAAAAGCAAAAATTGTAATCAATAACAGAGAAGATAGAACTCACCATATGCCCTTTCACTGGCTCCTTGGCTATGAAACCTTTAGTTGTCTTTATCCTGGCACGTCGTGTCTCGCAGTCCTCATGGTTGGAGCATATCCGAATGTTCTCCAAGGGAAGCTGCTCTTCTTGACATCCTACTGAGAGAAACAGAGCCAGAGGCTCATTATTGCAACAACCAAGGTGTAAAAAAGAAATGAACCGAATCTGAAATCGGTGAAAAAGGAAAGCTTTGCTTCTTTTTTAATGAAAAAATCTTGTTTTCCGTGTAACTTTTGATTGGGTCCAGAGAATTAGAAAATATTGAGTCAATTTGTTCATGAACTTCCAAATTCTAAAGTTAAAGATTTCTATTAAAACACGGCAACTAGAAGTCTAGAGGCTAGAGCTTGGAAATTAGAAAGAGGACACTGGTTGGTAGGTCCTGACTTCTGAGTTCGTTGTTTTTTGTTTCAGCTTACTTTCAGGGGAACCGGGCGAGTTGACTCGGATGGGAGAACGAGTCTCACGAATCCTCGTAGGCTCGTGGTCGTTTTTTGATAGGTATAAAATAAAAATGTTTTTAAAAATAATCGAGTAAACATAAAATCATCCAAAAAAAGAAAAGAAAAAACCGAGTTTTGATCAGAAGCCATGAGAACCGGAGGCAATAATGCGTAAAAAAAATGCAAATCTTTTCTTTTGTTTTTCTAAAACTAGTTTTGATCAGTGTTCAATCCCGAGATAACGGAATCAGAAAATTTTCATGCCGATTATTGTTGTAGATCAAAAGGATTCAAAACTTACTCTGTAGTTCTCTTTCTTGTTTGGAGAACAAAAAMTGGCAAAAATAAAATGTGAATTTGGATTTGACAGGTATAGAAAGAAATCGATTTTTGCGGAGCCAGAGATTGCACCTCTCAATAACGCAATCGATGTACGGTCGCAAAACAGAAAGATCGACAAAAAGTGATTAAGATTTAAGCACTGATGGTCGTTCAAAGATCAGAAATTGTTCATTTAACGAATTTCGAACTCGGAGCGCAATACAAAAAATGGTTTCGATGATCTCCCGCATTGATAACTGTCGAAAAAAGATCGAAATGTACTCACCTCCGCCTTCAACAACCTTAAGAAGATTTGATGAATCATCTTTAGACGACTCTTCTTCCACCACCACTTCATCACTGCCTTCACCGTCACTCTGCTTCAATTCCTCCAAAGAGTCTATTTTCACCTCCTCAACTTTATCTTTAACTTCCCTACAACTCTCTTTGTCCTCCTTAGACGAAACCCTAACTTGTTCACTCTTCATCATCTCTTCCCCCTCCCTCTTATTCACCTTGGAAGCCGCAACTTTCCGGAGCTCCAGCGCTACGTCGGCTATTGAGTAATACTTCTGCATATGAAGGATAGGGATCCAGTTCAACCGCCTCCTGTGAATCGCTGCAAACACCGACTCGTAGTCAGCAGTTCCGTTACCAAAGAGGGCATCCATCTGTGTCAAGTGGTTGCAGAGCGCGTCGATGATGGCGTTCGCTGCCGCGAATTCTCCCCTGAACCAAGCGATAATCGCGTCCCTGGCAAACGTCTCCGTTGGCATTTGTGTTTGCATAGGCAACACTGATGCCATTGGGATTCGATCGGACGGTGGTGCAGGCCCGGCCGCCGTTGGCATCGGTGGATCTTCTGGTCGTCCTCTCCTTATCGTATCGTATCGTGTCGGATTGTAGGCAGTGCCGGAAACGCTACGGGAACCTATCGAGTTTATTAGTTGAGAGCTGAGAGCCAAAAAGAAGGAAGGTGAAAGCGAGGGGATTGTGGTGAGGGTTTAGGTGGTTATATAGATGTTCAGTGTTGTCCGTACTCTTTGGGTCCACATGTTGACGTGTCAAGTGCTAGAACGTGTGATGTGGCACGATGAGGTGGAGTCATATGGGTCTGCAACTCTGCATTGTTAGATGGAAGGGAGGTTGGAACTTGGAATCGGGTGGGTCGGGACTCGGGCTTTAAGCTAACTAAAGGAGTGCGAAGTTACTTAAATGACCTTAGAAGGTTGAAGTGGGTAAGCGTTAGAATCGTTTGTTGCACGTGGCTATTCTGATTGGTGGAATGGAAAGTTTATTGAGGAGGTGGACAAAATTTTCTAAAAAGGACTGAGCGTGGTGATGACTGATGAGGAGGCAGTTTTAAGCTAAGTGTAACGCGACGAATCTGATGCCCCATTTTCCTCGATGAATCAAGACCGTTCAGTGAAACCGAGACTCTCCATCTAGTCCTTTTAACTTGGATCATTTAGCGCATGCATACGGCCCCTTGTRMCTCGTCGAGCGATCTTGAATGGGTCCTACCCGCAATAACGGGTCAATGATCTAGTTTTGTAGCTAGTTAGTGCTACAATGAGGGGCCCAGCAATCAATTGTAAGACTATAATAATGGTATAACAACCATAATGCTCCGTTGGAGCACAGAACCTTGACTGGTTGGCCGTCGGACAGTTTGGAAATTGGAACAGCTAGAGTTACCGAGACGTAACGACACGATCAATGCATGGATAAATGGGTTGATCTTGACCTTTCTTTTGCGGTTTGGGTCACGGATATTGGATTGGGACCCACTTACGATGGATTCCTGGAAGCTTCGTGCATAAGATAGTCACTCCTTGAAACTTGGAGGGATTGACAGTGGAGAGTGGAGACCATCGGACGGCGGAGGACCCATCTCTCCCGAATCCTATATTTAGTCCAGATTCTAGAATCAGTAAACAAATATGAGGTCCTCTTCCCGAGCCCGAATCTCCTACCAACAAAAATATGTTCTAGCCCTCTACCAAMATGATCTAACACCGCATATCTCATTTTTATAGTAGATCCCACTTTTATATGGTGAGTCTTAATTTCATGGTGAATATGCGGTGTTAGATGAAGTTCGTAGGGATTGGAACGTGTTTGATTGGTAGGAAGTCCCAATTCCCTCTTCCCATCCATCGTTTACGATGACGTGAACAACCCATACAGGTCCCACTCCCACCACAGGCCCACAGCGCAACAAACGCTGATTAGTTCCGGGCATTGGTGATGGGTCGGAGTTGTAAAAAGACAAAACATTAATTCCTTTTAATGATGTATAGAGTAGGCTCTTTTTTTTTTTTTTTTTTTTTTATGATTCGATGAAAGGGTAGTTGATTTCGTGATCACCAAATCGCCCACAAGGATAGTTGAACCCGGTCCGGTTCTCGCCCTCGACTTGACTTGCCAGTGGTTCAAAACCCTAATCTAGGTAGCTAACCAAATAATGTGAAAAAGAGGCAAGGTGTCTTATATTCCCCGCAGTTTGGAAGAAGAGTTGGTGGAAGACCAATGACATGATTAAAAGACGCCTCACACAATTTCCCCCCTGAAGCAATGGAATTTTCAAAATCCTCTGCACGCTCTTGGAAAATTTKGAGAGACAATCCTTGATAGTTGTTAGTTGGTAGCTAGATTGTTCAACTATGACCTCAGAATGATGCTTGAAGAAGACTTATTAGAAAGTGTAGAGCCACACCTCTGGAGTATATTTAAACTTTTTAGAGTTTAATAAAACACAATGATGTTAAATTTTGATTTCAATCAGTCAAATTAAAGACATCTTATTTTTCATAGATTAGTAAGTATGTATGTACTCTGCACGTGGCAGTTTTTGATGATACTGGTAATAATAAATAATATATTTTTAAATTTTTCTACAATTTATTTATATTTTTATTTATAAAAATTATTTTTATTTTATTAGATTTATTTTTGTTTAACTAATACGATGAATRTACGATATTAGAGATGTGTCTAAATGTTTTCTATAAAAAGGAAATCAACTCCATTTTTATGTGTTTTAAATTTGTATTTTGTTTATATCATCTATAAAAATAATTATTCTTTGTACACTTATTTTTTAATATAATTAATTAATGTAGGACTCAATGAAAGAATGGGAGCTAATGCCCTAAACATAATACTTAATGAGAGGAAACTGAACGCGAAGAAATGTAGTAATTCAAATTACATTTTGTGCCCTCACAATTAGAGAAGAACCAAATTCAAAAATTGGGGTATTTTAGTAAAGAATACGATTTAATGAATGTTAATGAGAGTTCATACTTTAAATATAAGGTTTAATGGTAAGAAAAATGGTTGTGCAAATTACATTTCTATCCTTACAGTCAGAGAGGGACTAAATTCAAAAATTGGGACATTTTAGTCAAATAAAAATTTTACACTCCTATTCACACTTTTAATAGCAGTATAAATTTACATTTCAAAAAGTGTACACCAGCTGCGTTTGGAAATGATGAAAATAAGTGTGAATGCAAATATGTAGAGTGTAAAACGGTTCATTCATATAAATTGCAAAATTGGGTTAGTTTTGCATTGACAAATTTACCTTCTTATCAAATAGATTTTAGCTATAATGGATGCAAACATGAATTCCAATAAAGCCTATACTTTTTTTTATCAAAAGCCCATTTGAATGCAAATTTACATCTTTTTTATTGAGGTTGAGTTTGGAAGGAGTACAAATGCAAATATGTAGAGTGCCAAACCTTATATTTTGTATGTATTTACATTGTACATATTTGCATTTGTACTGTTTCCAAACTGAGCCTGATGTACTTTTACATATTATTATCAATGTAAATACGCATTGGTCTGTCATTTGTCAATGCATAAATATAATGTGGCCAAACATAGGCAAAAGTGAACCCCAGTGCAAATTTACCCTGAACTAGGATTTRCACTCCATTTGCATCATTTCCAAATGCAGCCCTCATTTTTAACAAGGTATACTTTTGACGTTCTTCACTTTCTTTTGCAATTTGATGACATGGCATACTTTCTTTAAAATTAAAAGTAAAAGTTGTTTCCCTAATTAGGCTTGTTTTAAGGAATGACAACGAGTCGGGTTGGGGGTGGGGGTGGTGGGACACCTCCTCCCTATCCCTATTCTATAGCCTAGATCCATATGTTGTGACACTCACTCTCCATTGAAGATGGGAAATCTTTGAATTTTCTTCACCCCAAGCCAATCACCTAAAAAGTACATCCAATTTAGAGGTATTTTAAAAATAGGATTATGGGAATTTATAGTTAATGCTGCTCAATCCAAGGTGGTGCACGAATTGAGGAGAGCAACTAGATATTCCTTGTTGGTAGGGCAGGGCCGAGATACAAGGATGAGACCGCGCTTTAAGACTTGTGATCAAGAGAGGAGAAGTCAGAGGCCCAAGGAGTTATCCCTGGGTAGATACTCCGACGCTCAAGTCAATAGGAGGTGATGGATGGTCGGGCCAAGCTATAGGAATGCTGGTTTGAGAAGAATAGTAATATGGGTGTCAAAAGTGGGATCCCTTACCTTGAGCATGGAGTACCTTCTTATAACCGAAGATCCGTGTCCTGGTCAGATTGGGCTTCCGAGGTTGTCGGGATGAGGTTAGCCGTCGAGGTATTCTGGATAGAGTCTCATTCCCCAATGGAGTTGTCTTCCTTACCCCTCTTTATCCATGGTTGTGCTCATCCGTGTGGCGTGTGGTTGACATGGCTGAAAGAACAAGATGGGGGGCCACAATGATAGCATAGCTTGGCCGAGCTATGTTGACGTGGTCGGGCGATGACTGGGCCACATATCTCTCAGGACTAGCTCAACCATGATCCAAACACCACTCCCCTAGTTCTAGAGCTGAGGAGGGGAAGTGCTCGGTTTAAAGTGTTGCACGGTCGCGTAGCTTAGTAGAGCGCCGAGGTATCGAACTGAGTTTCGAGGTCCATCTCCCTGGTGGGGATGAGGAACGACTCTTTGGTTCCCGGTGAAAGTCAAGCTTCAGTGTTGAGGTCACTGTGATGCTCGACCATGGTGTGTCGAGCTCTGGAGTTTGGTTTGAACTTTCGAAGTTGAGGCCACTGTGATGCTCGACCATGGTGTGTCGAGCTCTGGAGTTTGGTTCGAACTTTTGAAGTTGAGGCCGCTGTGATGCTTGACCATGATGTGCTGAGCTCCGGAGTCGGGGCTTAGCCCGGTTGGGCACCGAGGAAAGGCTTTCTGTTGCCGATGGGAGGCCGATCTTCAGAGTTAGAGGTCGTTCTGATGCTCGGCCATGGTGCGCTGAGCTACGACGTTGGGGATTGTGATGCTTGGCCAAGGTATGCCGAGCTTTGAAGTTGAGGGCCTCAAAAGTGCCGAGCTACGAAGCTAGGGCTATTGTGATGCTTGGCCCTGGTATGATGAGCTTCAAAGTTGAGGGCCTCAGAGGTGCCGAGATACGGAGCCAGGGTCTTTGCTCTTCAGCTGAGGAACTTGCACTTGAACTTTTGAAATTTGAGCACCACTCTCCCAATTCCGAAGTCGAAGAGTGGGGTGCTCAGTTGAGGCACAACGAGGCCTCCTTTGGTCGGAATTTTCTATTGGGCATTCTGAAGAAACCAGAGGGACTGGTTGACCCTGTGGTCTTGGGCGAACCTCGAGCATCTGCGATGTTGGTTGGACCACAACTACAGGGTGGTCCGGGGCAATTAATGCCCTGGCCGTTGCTTGTCAAGGTCGTCGCTTCAGTTCTCAAGGCCTTGCGCGTGTGGTAACAGTCGCGTCGATTGGTCTTCCCGAGCTTTGTCAAGGCGACACTTGATCCTCACTGTAGATCTAGCATCGATTAATGTTTCTGTGGGCTATAAGAAGGGGTGGATAGGCATTTCCCCTTTGCCATTTGCGAGAGGAGTTGCTTGGATAGCTCGACGGGGTGTTGTCAGCATTGCTCGACATTTTGTTTTTATTCCTCGGCTTCAAGCTCGGTAAGA